CCACATCTTCCCATCTGTTGTTATTTAATTTTGACGTGGATGCCATCTATTTCAAACATTGTATTTAAAATTGAATACTTTATTTGAATCCCCTTTTGGAGAAACTTTAAAATCAATTTCATTCACGTTGATGTTATATTCTTTCATGCAAATCAAATCCAACATGTTTTAGATAAATTCCTTCCTTCAGACGACAACATACTCAGTTATCGGAACTTTGGTATAAAAAATGTTAAAATTTAATGGAGCATATTTATGTTTACTTAATTGATTTTAAATAACAAATAATTTTTTAACCCGCCCACCCGCTTGCCTAAAGTTTACATATTTTTCTAACCAAAAAATATCTACTAGCCCATCTGCCTAGATGAACTGGCTAAAAACCTGTGTGTTGCAGATATATAATCTTGATCCTATTTCGACTTCCCAATCTCCGTAGAAAATCTAACTGAGATGGAAGATATCGAAACCCTACAACTCCATGCTAAGATTTCCCTCCAAATTAACCATGCCACCCAGCCAATAAGGTGGTGAGAATATCTTTGTTTAAATCCCAGGACTAGACGCCGCCATTTTACATACCCAAACTCACCAGGATTCGATTTTTTCTCCACCTTGTTTGTAAATTTGTCAAAATATAATTGTATATTTTTCTTTTTTTATCGTCCATTGTTTGTTATTAGCGAATACAAATAATTGGCTATAATATTTTTTTTATTATCAATATGGCTATCTCTTTCTGGGATACCTCCACATATTATAATACGATAATTAAATATCACTTGAAAATTATTATTTTTGTTTTGTATATTCCCATTTGTTTGATAAATAAGGGAAAAACTGAATTATGAACCATTACTTTCTTTTAAATTTGACGAAAAATTATTTTACTGAGATAATAAAATTGTACATGATAATGATTAGAAAAAAATTTAATAACTTAACCCTGACTCTTTCAAATCCACACTTTAAATATGTTGCGGTCTCATACCGTTTCCTGAAATAAATTAGTCGAAAAGCCGCATTCAACCTATAATGACTAGAAATCAGTTCCATATTTCAAATTAGAATAAGAAAACCGCACTAACACAGTGGTATCGACTCTAGATTTTAATATATTGGATACAGCTGCATAAGAAGGGAATTATAGATCATCATATAATAAAATAAATTTATAAAAGAATAAAAAATAATATAAATGGAACATGAGTATATCTATTTTTTATATAATATATTTCGATTTTTAACTATATTTGCATACGACGAAAGGAAAGAAACTATTTTTAAATGAATTACCAGCTCATTTGGCGTTCTTTCTACTTGAATTATTTTAACATACCCAAGATCATGTAAGCCATGAGATCAGCGTTAAATTATCACAAATATATTCTCATCAAACGTAAATTGTACATATGCACAATGCTGGTGGGTATTTCCAATATAAAATTTTTAAAAAGATCGTGGCTCCTAAAAATGGCGGGATAGGTTCTTACTCCCATCTCTCCTCTCTTTAGCTGCTTTTGTCTCCTCAAGATTAAGCATTTCAAGTTTAATCCCTACTGGTCATAATTTGGGGCGTCATTAGCATTTAGCCTTTACAATCTCAGTGGGCTCAACTAAAAAAATTTTTATGGGGGCTTCGCGCTCTATAACCCCTATTTTTAGGCCGGCTTTTATATTAATATATTATACTTTTTAATTGAAATTTGCAAACTCTGAACAATTATTCTGAATTTGATCTTTTGTCATTTATTATGCATACGAATAATAAAAGTAGAACAATACAAGACATTTCTAAATATAATAATTTTCAAATACCAAATATTTAACCATTTATAACAATATTAAATATTTTCGATTGCGAATATTAAAAAAATCTTGGTCTAAAGAATTACAAGTGATAAAAAAAGGTTATATGGGTTAATGATAGATACTGCCAAGTCAACGTATAACAATTTTATAAATACCATCCTATTTGCTAAATACCTATCAAAATTTATTAAAATATAATAAACCCTTATTATTTTATATATATTATAAGGGTAGTCGAGTTCGGCCTACTATATATCATCTCCCCAAGGTAGGAACCATCAAGTTGGAAAGAAAAAAAATAAGGTCACTGTTGGGATTCGAACTGAGAACCATCGAATTGGTAAGCGAAGCTCTTGCCGACTAGGCCACAGGCGCTTTAATCAAATATATATTATAAATAAATTGGGTAATACCTATCCAAATGAAAAATAAACAAAATACATAATTGATAGGTATTACCTTGAGGCAGTATCTATCATTAATCGACCATATGGTGGTTAGACCTAAATGACATTATGAAGCTAGATAAGTAATCGAAAAAATTATTGTGAGATAACAAATTTCTAAAAGATTATCTTCCATTGTTAATGATATATAAATGATTAGACAGTTTACCATTATGGCTCATCTAAATTATGAATGCTCTCAGCAGCAGGAGTAATAATCTTAATTTACATGGCCACCAAATAATAGATTATGGTTAATTTTAAATCATAGCCATGACATTCACTATGTAAACTCTTATCAGAATTTATTATGTTTTATAAATTGATAAAACAAAAACACTAAAAATCTTTAGAAGAAATGATTTATGCTATTATATTGAAGCCTTGAGTTATTTACACGAGGATGCCATATTAGAAATGAAACATTTGTAACTATAAAATAAGGACCAGAGTGATATGATGAAAGCAATTAATCATGTAATATTGTCGCACCACCTCTAGTTTATATATTACATCTTAAAATAATAGTAATTTGTAATATGAAAAATATACTAGTATTAAAAATTTAACTCAAAGCTGTTAGAAAAAAATAGCTTTCCTAAAACAGGTAAAAAAGAGAGGAAAAGATATCTAATAAGATCATAATCCATTTTGGGATAAATAATAAAATGTTTAATTTTTCATAATATTTTTAAATAAATAGATGGCGATGAAGAATTGAATGCATATTGTTACTTATATTTATTAATAAAAGTATTTATTAGTAAAATTCATTAAAATTATTAACTGTAATATATTATATAACTGTCAAATACGTCTGTATAAGTGGCATTTTACCTAATATTTATAAACAATTAATAGAAGATTATCAACTATAAGTCTACTTACTTTTTATAAAGAAATTTCTTATACTTATTTGGACCTTGAAAATATTTTTAGGAAGAGGCATGGTATAAATTTAAAAATAAATAATATAGTTGATTAGTGAGAACTAAGCTAATTACAATATTAAATTTGTTAATTTTCATTTAATATGATAATATTTATTTAAATAGGGTTATAAAATAATTTAAATAATAAAAATCAATTAAACTTCATCTGAATACTAAATTAATATTTAGACATTATAAGTGATATTGATATTCCATTTTAACACAGAATTTGATTGCAAGCTGACATATGAATATAATTTATATGTATTAATTTAATCGAATAAATAATATAAATATAATAAAAATTCAAATAGTCTAATTAATTTTTAAATAATAAAATCATATATATATATATATATAATACTTAATAGAATTATAAAAGAAATCGTTCAGGGGCTATCAAAAAATTTATTTTTAGTTCAGGAGAATATTAGGGAGCCATTAAGAAAATTTTCTTTTTCGCTTCAGGAGGCTATTTATATTTTTCAAGGGACTATAGCCCCTACGCCCCTCCCCTGCCCCCCTAGTCACGCTACTGGTCATCATCTTAACCTAGAAAGTACTATGCACATCTGAGAAAACCTGGCGTTAACTAAATATCCACCCTGTGGAAAACCTGGGATATTCTCCAGGTGTCTCACTCGGTTGATCTTATCGAGTGATTGGAACAATGTCCTAGTCAAGCCTTCTGAATTTTAAATCGGGTTACGATTCGCAATCTCGATCTTCTTCTCACCAATGAAGATTTTCCTATAGCTATATTGCTTCGCCATGGCTACGATATTGCTTACTTCTAAATGTATTAATTGTTCTTTACCGATTCCAAAGGGTACCATCCTCTATAGTTTTGGAATAACATATACCTCGGCGCATTCCAAAATAAAGGCTTCATTACTTAATTCGGCAAAGATTTAAAATAAACAAATATTCAGATATCGCTAGCGTATTTTTTATCCCATTTTCCACCTATACCCTTGGTGTTTTTGGTGAGAAATTTCTTAAAATTATTACATTATTACGGAGAAAATTAAGCCAAATAAGTGGTGATCGTAATAAAGTCTTCTATTTTAATCAAGTCATTTAATGGCTATTCATCAGAGTAAATGCATTGCTATTCATGGTACCATACAATGCAATAAAACCTCTCTTATTATTTTTTTAAATTTAATTTTTATCCAATTGTTTATTTGCTTTAAATTTTTGTATGGGCTATATTAAATATTTTTTTTATATGACATTTGTTTTAAATTCGTTTTTTTAAATAATAAATCAAATTATAAATAAATTAATGAGGCATATAAAAGATAATTTATTTAAAATAAGCTCTAAAGTTTTATGAAAAACTTTTATAAAATATTCCATGTTTAAATAGGTGCTAATTATTTAAGGCGCTAATTTAAAAAATCATTGAGTGGTAATTCTATTTTAAAATTGGTATTTTTTTAGCACCCAAAGAACTTAAATAACGATGCACTTGTTAAATATATTCCAAATCTTTAAACGACGATTACGGGCATTATAACAATACAATATTATTATATATAAAAAAATAAGTTAACTTTAATTGAGTAATTAATAAAATTAAATAAAAAAAGTAAGGCAATATGACATAATTACATGTAAATAAGTTAAGACTAGACTCAGAGGAATGATTGATCTTTGCATGTAGTATAATAGGGTTGTATGATTGATTTTTATATATAATGTTATAAGGCAATATAATAATATTTTGAAAGTTTTATTCAAAAGAATAATTCTATAAGATTCAATTTATTAAGCAAGATAATTTGATCATGTCAACAATTGGTTGTATAAATCATTTTTATCTATCAGGGTACAACTGGTAAATTACCAACTGTCATTTTGGAGGTATTTGAATCATGACACGACATTCAAGGAATTGCACTTCAAATCCTGTATATTCATATCATGAACAAAAAAAGGACTCAGTAAGTGGAAATTATGGAACTCAAAGACTTAGATGTGGTAAAGAGAGTATCAAAGATTTTGATTGTTGTTCTTTAAGTTTGCAACCTTGCATAGACCCTGTTGTCACACCTGATGGCTATTTATTTGATAAAGCTGCTATAATAGGTATGTTTTTATTTATATAATATACCAAACTTACTAAAAATTTAATAAATCAGTATTAATCTTTTATAATGAGATATAATATGTTATAACAGGGTCCTCTTAACACACTTGAGCCAATGGAGCAGAAACCCTCCATGGCTATCCTCACTCACATGTGTATTAATGAAGCAGAAAATTACACTTATATGTAAAAAAATCTTACTGAGATAGCATAATCGAAATGGTAAAACTGATTATATCAAATCTAATAAACATCATTTGTGGGAAATAATACGAAAATATATTATATATAATAAGAAATTTTTAATAAAAAAATAAGAATAGCTAGAAGCAAAAATGCTCACATTTGTAAATAATTTTTGATTAAGGTTAGTTGCAACCAGTTAATTAATCAACCAATGTTTATGATTATCACCAACCAAAGTTTGTTTATTATCCCTATCATGAATTATGATACCTGAAATAATTATGTTAAATTGAGAGTGGCTCAATTAATTTGCTTAATATTTATTAATAATATTCAATTTTTTAAAAATAATATAATCAATTTTATTTAAAATAATTAGTAAAAGAATATTGTGGACAAAGGCCACAATTTTTAGGGTAGATCTTGTAGAGGAATACCTTCTACATTATGTTATATTTTATAGAAATAAATAATCTTAAATCTACCTGAAATAATTATGTTAAATTGAGAGTGGCTCAATTATTTGCATAATATTTATAAATAATCTAATTTTTAAAAAATAGTATAATCAATTTTATTTAAAATAATTAGTAAAAGAATATTATGGACAAAGGCCACAATTTTTAGGGTAGATCTTGTAGAGGAATACCTTCTACATTATGTTATATTTTATAGGAATATATAATTAAATCTTCCTTTCTTAGAGTGATTGCTTCAAAAATACTCATAAAATCAAACATTTACCAACCATTCTGAAATTTTATTTGTGCACCCCCCCCCCCCCATCTTAAAGGGCTCTGTATCATATTGAAATAATTATACCATAATACATTTCATGTTATTATATTAATTAGTTATAGATTTATGAATAGTTTATTGCTATGTTTACCTAAGCTCATTTATGACTAATTTACACTATTAATAATAGTTATTAAATACTATTGAATACACATATATTATTTATATTATAGAATTCATATTAACTAAGAAAAAGGAAATTAAAAACCAAAAGATTGACTATGAAAAGTACAAAGAAGAAAAAGAAAAAAATAGTGTTGAAAATTTAAATAAAGAAGCTAAACGCCAAAAATTTATTAAAAGGGTAAAAAAAATATTTTATAAATATATTCTTAAAATATTTTATAAATATATACATTATATATTTTATTTAAGTTGTAACAAAACATCAAAATCATTTAGTATCTTTTCCTGGAAGATACACATTATAAATTTGCCCAGCCCATTTTAAACCTTTAAGATTTTTTCCCAAGGTTTGGTCTAGCCAATTTTATAAAAAATCAGAGATTTGTGATGCTTGCCCCAATTTATTATGTATGAATTTTCCAGCTTGGCCATATATTTTTTATGTACAAATTGCCCAACCAGCCAGTTATAATTTAAAAAATTTACCAGTTTGTGAGGTGGGCTTTGCAGATCTCTTTTGCACATTGATATTGTAATGATAATAGATAAAATATTAGATCAAAATAGTTTAAAACACAACAGGGGTGGTTATAGAGTTGTTCAGAATACATTGAAAGTGTAGTTCATTAAACTACTTAAATACTTTCATAAAAATAAGCTCTAAAAGCTATATATAAAGCATTCCCTAAATTGTGGTGTTAGGATATAAGTTTAAAGCTATACATTATACTTAAAATACAATTGATTAATTTATATTTTAACTGCTCTCACTCAAAACATCCTTGATTTTTTTGTGCCTTTATTTATAGAATTAAAAATTAAATATTATGGTGTTAATTTTTTTAAAATGAGTTTTAGTAGAGGGCCATGCAAAACAACTAGTGCAAAATATTTTTAGATGCCCCACAAGTGTAAAATTTTTTGAAGCTTCTATTACAGAAATATATGTTCTATTTCTTCATAAAAGAATTATTTCAGACTAATTTTATTGATTTGGCCAAAAAAACCTTATCAAAAATAAATAGGATTTAATATGTGCTATAAATATAATAATTTAATATTCGTATTCTTCCGTTCCGAATAATAAAGTTGACTCTTTGTATTCGATTTGAATAATTCTACATCATGCCAATATTAAATATTGGATCGGGTCCGATATTTAGCGTTTTCCAAAAATATCTCATCTGGTTGCTATGGCGCTACCTGTAAAAAACAGATGCTTACTTTTTTTGTTATTTTATTTTATATTATATATGTTTATATAGTTTATTATATATACATTATTATATAATATTTCAAAAGGAACGATTCTAAATAATTTTTTATTTATTTTTACTAATTTTTTTAATAAAGTATTAAAAATGGAAAAGAACACCCAGGCATCTGAAGTATGGAAATATTTTATAAAAGACAAAAATAATTCTGCAAAATGCGTTATTTGTGGAACAGTGTTGTTAAACGCTACTTTTAAAAGTAGCGCGCTATCGCTACCACTATTTTATAAAAAAAAGTAGCGTGCTATCGCTACCGCTATCGTTTTCAAATGAGTAGCGCGCTATTAGCTACTTTAAAAAAAAGTAATTAAAGCTACTTTTTACGCTACTTTGATTTTTTTTAAAATATTTTTTTTTTACATAACTTCCACAAATAAAATATTGATATAAAAACATGATTATAATTTGTTACATATATATATATAATTTATTTATTATTGCACTTTAATAATAATAACATTTCGGTACTGTCATCCCCAAGTCTAGAGCGACGATAAGAAAGTATAAGCTTTGCCATACTAAATAATCGTTCAGCACTAGCACTTGAGGGCAACGCAGTATTAAATTTAATAAACAAACTTTTTATATGAAAAAAATCATCAAAAATATTTAAATTAGTATTTTTAGATTTAAAAAAGCATCTAGAGGTTCAAAATTATTATTATTATTATTATTTATTTCAAAAAAATCGTCTATGGAAGGCTGCGGTTTCGATCTTGCTATAGTATCGTGGTTAGGCATGCCATTTTTTAACGTTACCATCAGCCTATCAAGTTGCCCTTTAGATTCAGTTAAATTAATGTATGGCCAATTTAACTTGAAACTAGGATGAACGATAGCAGCTATTACATTATCATCATCATACAGATCTGGAAATCTAATTTATATAAAGTGATTGTATTTATTATAAAAAAAAGAAGAATACCATTTTAATTTTTAAAATTTAAATTTATCTGAGATTTAGATTCATTTATAAAAAAAATATTAAAATAGCAATAAATTATGGTAAATAAAAATTTTAAAAATATAATTATTATACACAAAGTTAATATATTAATTAATAATTACTATATATTAATATTATAGATTGTGTTGTAAATTAAGCCAATTTAAATTATGGCTAATCAAGCAATAAATCATTCATTTTATATAATTGTATAATAGTAAATAAAAATAAAGTTTTGACCTTTTCTCAATGCCTTTTAGCATAGACTCTACCAGTGGTTGGCAAAATTTTAGATTATTGATTCTTTTGATACTCAGTGTGGGCACATAATATCCCATGCTCATATTATCTTGCCCTTCTAAGATTTTAATAGAGGCAGCAACATATTGCATAACCTAAAAAATTAAAATGGTTAAATATAATATAATATTATTTATTAATTAAAAATACTTCAGTATATTCTTTAATAAAAGTATGCTCCTCCACATTAAAATACTGTATTCCCATTTGATCCAATATATAATTCATTTCCATTTTTTTCTCATCTAGAAACAATGCTAAAAGTTTCATAGCATTGTAAACACTATTCCATCTTGTTGTGTTTGGTGTGAATAAATAACGTCCTAATTTTTTTTTGAAAATATCAGACGTCTTTGATGACTTATTTTGTTTATTCCAAAGAGCTTGGCATTTAGAAAATGTAGATCTTGATACTCTTTTAAAATCCTCATTTAATAATGCCTCTTCAGCATCCACTGTCGCAACTAAATTTAGGTGTGGCAGGAACAACGATGATGGCTAGGTAACATAGAAGACTTTATTGAAGATCCTAAATATTATAAATTTTATTTTATATTGGTGAAAAATTAAATATAAAATAATTTAAAACCAAGGATGTCATGAACATCAATTATCTCAAACTCCATTTCATCATCCTCTTCTTGTTCTCCATCTTCAATATTTTTGTCAGGAATATTACTAGTTTTGTTATTATTATTATCCTTCCCAAATATTCTATATTATTTATATCATATTTTAAAAAAATTATAATAAATTTAAAACCTGAAGGCCTTCAGGAAATTAGACCCATTATCCGTAATCATCTTACAAACCTTGTTTTGAATTTTGTAAGACCTATGGATTTCTGCAATAATATTGGCTAGAATGTCATAAGTCTGACAGCCAATTATTCTCTTTAGAGCTAACGCTACAGATTTTTGTTTACTGCCGTTGTACAGACGTAGGAGACATCTGATAGATTTAATATCAAAGATTCTTTCATTTCCTTAAAACTCTCCAAAATTCTTGCCATCAATGTCTGCCGGCAAAATATCTTGGTCCGTGGAGAAAAAGTGTTTATCATCTTTATAAAAGAATCATTATCCACCAAGGATAATGGTTGAACTGTATCTATTATAAAGTTCATAATGACTTTGTCAGCCAATTTTTGGGATACACCAGGTGTTGTTGAATCCAAATTGGTTAATTTTGTTTGTATTAAATTTGATTTGGAAGTGGGTTTATCTTCTTCCATTACCCCAAAACTTTTGAGATATTTTTCAATTTCTTTATAATTTGAAGTGTGCACAGTCTAAAATTATAAAATACTTAGAATAAAAATTATGTAGGAGATAAGTACATAAAAATGATTGAAATAACTATTTTAAAATGTTTTAAATAATTTAGATAAAATTTATGAATATATAAAAAAAATGATTGGTTTTTGATTTTAATTTATTTTAAAAATTAAAGATTAGCCTACACATTGTTATTAAATTTGTTTAATATATTACCTTTAAATGTTTTTCCAAATTAAAGCTGCTCGTATGATTTGAAGAGATAATTTTGCGGCACATCTTGCACCGAAACTGATATCCAGTATTAATTTTTTCTTCAAGGTTAAAGTATTTCTTGAATTTTGGGAAAGGACCATCTATATTTTGCTCATTTTCCAAAGAAATTACAATATCTTCAACAATCTCACACATAACAAGATTTATAATGCTTAATATAAAATGTAAAATGAAATATAAAATAAGATAAAAGCAAGGACATACCAATAACGGAATTTCAAAAATATATAATTCAATGAATGCGCGAAATATAAATTAAATACAGATTGCTATTTAACAACTGTTTATATCTAATATATAACAATAATGTATATTTTTAAATATAAATTTTAAAATTAAATTAAATAAAAGGATTACAATTTTAGATTTTATAAAAAATATATTTTAATAATTTTTAGTTGTATTTATTATGTAAAATTGAAAGTAGCGAAGTAAACGAGCTACCGCTATCGCTATTTTTTAAAAAAAGTAGCGAAGAACTAAAAATATTAGGAAAAACAAATCAAATTTTAAAAAAGAGCCCTGAAAGTCAGCCAACAATATCAACCATTCTTAACCCATTAATGGTCACACTTTTTCCAGCCGATGAAAATTCTTGATTTTTTCAAATTTTATTTATTTATGTCTAACTAAGAAATTATAAAAAAATTATCCTAAATAGTAAATCTGAAACGTTGCATAAAGCAACGTTGACCATTAGGGTATCAAAATAAGATTAAATTATATTACTGCAAAAAATCGCAATACGATAGATAATTTCAAAATTTATTTACATATTTTACATTTATAAGATACCATTTTGTATATTTCATGATTTTTAACAATCAATATGTGTTGGTATTTGACTCATGTCACATATATATCTTGTCTGACTATTGTTGTAGCTGTTGAAAAAAAGAAGAAATAAATTTAATTTAATACATCAAATGTCAGTTATTTTCTGACAGGGAAATTAAGTTTTCCTGGTGGATAGGGGGAAAACGTGATCATCACATGTTTGGTTTTTAAGGATTCCTTTGTTAGCTATTTTGGAGTGAAGATATTGGATTAATTGGAGAAGATGTCAGCTGGGAGGAACAAAGAATGGACCTGTGGGAATGAAGAACATGTGAAGCGGGATAAATATGATTTATAATATTTATATTTTTTTTTAATGGATAGATAAATATAATTATGAATAAATTTGGATTTGTTTTAACTATGACAAAGCTTACAACATCGCCTTTTGTTATCGATATTAGTTGTAACACAATGACCATTAGAATTTTCAGACGTTTCACTTAGTGAGGAAAATTGACTAGGATGACCTCTACTTGTACTCATCTTTTTATTTATCAGGGTAATTTTCAAAAGTGTAGTTATTTCTCGCCAAAATGTTAGCAATAATTTTTTATCATCAGGATTCACTCGATTCCATAACTTCCATGAATTTACTACTGTTACAAATAAAATTGCTTAGGGCATTACCATTTATTACCTCATCAACGCTAACCATATGGGAATCATAAGAATTTATAAGCTAAGGTTGTGTAATTTTTATTTTTGAGAAAATCTTTCGAGAAATTTTGATACGTTGCATAGAGGGCTAAGAGCTTTAAATGTTGATGCAACACAACTATACTATCATTCAATCAAACATCAAATATTTCATGTCTTTTCAAATCGGTAATCGTAATAGCTCCTCTCTTTTTTTTGTCATAACTTTAATTTTTTCTAGGGGAAAATTTTTAAGTCTATTTTCTCTTATAGTCTCAGTTGCGAAAAATCCAAGATGCTTCAAATATGATAAAAGCATTAGAGTGTAAAAAAAATAATCGAAATAAATATAATGCAAAGATGGTACTTAAATTTGTAATAACCATACCTCCTAATCCAAGATTCGAAGCCATTTGGCATTTATTTTTACCTTGATATATATTAAATGCAAATATATATCCTTTGGATTAAGCCAGGGTTAATGATTTATATCGAAATCGTATGGGTTAACCTTTGATAAACATTTTACAGGAATGTCTTCCTCGATAAGGTATCATTTGCTCATCTATGCATAAATTATGTAAAAATATACCTAATTGTTGAAACTTTTATTTAATAAATTTAAATATGGGCGGACTTTATAAAGATTATCTTCATCAAAAGTTGAGTTATTAGATAGATGTAGATTCCTTTTGATATAGCGAAATGTATGTTGTGTCAATGAACTCCTAACGATTGGTATAGTAATATCATTGTCATTCGACCAATACATTCTTTCTTGTAGTAAGGATAATATTCAGTTAGCAAAAGAATTCCTATAAATCTTATTAAAATTTGGTCTATTGTTTTATTTGGAATAATTATGTGATTGATCCACAAACAGTGAATACATTTTTTGACCAAAAAATAATTCAAATATTTCTATTAAAGTTTTTCCTATCAAATCAAATTGAAATTCGCATTCTTGATTTGTAGATATTGAGGTTTCTGAGTCAATATCAATGTCTGCTGGATATTGGATTTCGATCTCCCCTGGAAGATTAGATGTGTCAGTTACATCGTTTTCATCGAAATCTTCTTCATCACTAAATAAATTGCATTAGGAGATATAATTACATCTTTGTATAAACAGGACCATCGAAAAGCATGGATAAGGCTTCAACAACTGTTAAAAATTGTTTTGTTATAATAATATTTTAATATTATTTAAAAATTTGGCAAATATAAGATGATAATAAATAATTTTTATATTCAATTAAAAAAATATAATGAAAATAACAAAAAAACTGAATTTTCTATATTTTTTTTAATAAATAATAAAAATATTATGATGAAAAAATAGTATTTTTGTTTAATAAGAATATAAACAAAAATTTATAATAAAATATTATGCTAAATTTTTTTAATATAATTTGAAACATTGCTTTTTTGAACCCTTATGTGGTCAACGTTGCATAAATGGTACAGTAAAAACATATATGATTATAAATCCGAGAATAGAGATAATGATGAGCAAAATTAATTAGAATAGGTTAAGGCATTTAAAAATAAATTTGTGTCAATTGCATTAAAAATATATTCTTTCAACGAGGGAGCCTATAACATTTGCATTTTTATAGTCCAAAATTGTCGAACGGCTAACTCAATACATCCAGAATAATATAACGCAAGCCTAAAGATTTTATTTGTAGAAGGAACAAAGGTTTGGACATCTATTAGCGAAATCTTGAGACTTAGGCAATATTTTCTGGCTAAAATATTGAGTTAGCCGTTTTTAAAAATCGGCTCAAAACGAGCCCTTTAACAACATTAATCATATGTAAAATTATTTCAATTCAAAAAAAATTATATGTTGCAGGCATTTTGCAAAATTATCTTAGTCTTTTGTAAAATATTTCATAATTCAGATACCATATTTAAAAAATTCCTTTATTTAAAGTATAAATAATAAAATTTAGGTCGTGTTGTGCATTTTCATTGTTTTGAAATAAATAAAATATTATTAAGAATCGTTCCTTTTGAAATATTATAATAATGTAAAATATACTATATGAATATTTAAAACATAAAATAACAAAAAAAAAATTAAAAGATCGGATCAGGTTTTTACAGATATCAGCTCGATCTGATATTTTTGGAAAACGCTAAATATATTTAATATCGCACAGTCCTAATTGATATGATCATCCAGATTCTATGAATATTTTATAGTATTTATTTCTTTAGTCATCTGCATCGGGCCTAATTTTTTTAATCTGGATCCAATTTTTTTTAAAAACCTGTCAGACCAAACTCGATCCCAACCGAATTTTTTATATGTCCCGAAAAGCCCGTCCCGAAATAAAAAAAATATTTGTCCGCCTGCTTTGGCCCGAATTTATTTAAATATATAAATTCACTACCTTTTTACCAACCGCATCCCGTAACTTAAAATATAAAAATCCATGATTTGTTATATTTTCATAGTTAATCGTAAATCAAATGATTTACATAAATGCTTTTTTAAATATGTGATAAAATTACTTTTATAATATCGTCTTCAGAGGAAGCTAAACGAATAAATTTAGTGCGGAAATATATTTGTCCCTATCTCATCTGCTAATTACTTTCCTTTTATGCTCATTAAAGTTGCTATTAGAAGATTTTGGCCCGAGATCGAAATCTTTTTTTATTTGTCCCGAACAGCCCGAACCGAAATTAAAAAATAATTTTCGAACCGCTAATTTATTTAAATATAGGAAAATGTGATTGTTTTTTTAATTGTAGAAAAATATTCTACAAATAAAAAATATTATCGCCCTGTTTCTTGCAAGAATTTTTAAAATATATCAATTTATATACCCATTAGCCTCCATAAAGTCGATGCCTTTTTTTGAAGTTGGCAACTAATAGATTTTAGTAAACTAAAATATTCGCCTATAATAACTAAGCTCATAATCAAAGCTGGTATGGTTATTATAGTTGTAATATGTGCATTTAGCCTTTGCGCCGAATTACCATTTAAATTCAAATTTTCGAGTTCTTCAACTATTATGACATAATATTTAAAGGTAGTATAGTGCATGAAATTATATTATTTGATTTTTTGTGTTATAGTAGCGTTTAATAAATAGTTTTCAATTTTATTCAATGTGTAAATTTGAAAATGATATAATATATATAAAAAAATTTATCAAGGAAAAGGTGATATGATTTATATATAATTTTTTAGAGAGGTTATTTTAGATCCAAGGAATTGCAAAACTTTAGAATAACTAAAAATCTTACAAAAAATCTTTCAAAATAAAAAAAATCACGTCTAATTTTATTTCAGCGAATGGAAAGTGCCTACACTTGCCCTTTTTTCAGCTTTACTTTATAGCATTTTTAAAAATTTTCCTGTTTAATGTTCAGTATGGATAGACGTAGAATTTTATTAATTATCTTATAGATCCTATAAGATATGTAAAAAATTTATCTTGGGTTTTACATATTTTTCTTAAAAAAAACTTGCTAATATTTTTTAAAAAGTGGAGGGAACAATATGCTAAATATAGCTACCAAAATTATAGTAGATGATTTTACTACCAAAATTATCATAGATATGAAATATTAAATTATAAATAAACAAAAACTCTGCACGGTTTTAAACTTTTTTTTATTGGGCTGCCTAAAAAGGAAAAAATCATTATTTTTATTCAAGTATGAATTCTATTTTTTTTAAAAATATAAATTAGGGAAAATATCAATACTCAAGAAAAAATTAATTGTATTTCATTTAATATAAAAAAAACTTACTAACTTAAATTATTTTCAAAGAATTTTACCGAAAATATTATCTTCTTTAGATGTAGATAGATTTTAACCATTCACTAATATTTTAAAATAATATATTTTTAATAGATTTTTAAAGAATTAATTTAACTCTATTAATGATACAAATAAATAGTAAAAATATTAAAAGATTGACTACGAAAATTTAAATTAAAAAATGGGACTGGCACATTTTAGCCCATGGGGCATAGTTAACGACGCCGTATATACAAATTAATAATAATATGTAGGCCTGAAAAATTAAATTTATTAATGGATTTTATCATTCTTGAGTTTGACAGGTTTTCACCCATATAATACTTTATATATAGGAAGACGATATTCTAACTCAATCGACTCTCGTTTCTAAATCGATGGCTCCCATTATCAGCAACAGAGAATTTATCACCCCATTATCTTCTCAACTCCTCAATAAAGTTAAAGTTGCTAACCCTGAACAAGATAATCGCAATAATATTTCAAATAACAGCCAAAGTAATGATAACAAAACAACATTATTTAGTTTTTGGGTTCCATCCTTGACTCCAGATGCCTCAGCCAAAAGAAATTCAAAAGGAGAATTAATTGTGGATTTAGAACATTCTAAATCTAACAACATTAATTTCAATCATAAAGAACCCCCCAAAACCCAAGTCCTATGTCCATTCAGTGGAAAACTCCTTCGAATGAAGGATTTGATACCAGTTAAATTTAAAAAAGTGGCTAAGGATGGGAAATCGAATGGAGGTATTTTTCTATATTGTTTACATGTTAAATATTTATTCACAGCCTAACATAATGTTACATTTGTACCTCCTTCATACACATTTTTAATCTTGATTTTCATCTCACCTCTTAGGTGTTTGTTTATTTGATCTATCCAACATAATTTAAAAAAATGATAAAATTGAGTTTATAATTTTTTTAAACTTATATTGGGATAATGCAATAATACTTTGACTGCCTAGGCCAACACAATAATATTATACTAGTAATTTGATCATAATTTTTGCAAACAACTATAAAAATTTATACAATAATATTATTACTTTTCTTTCAAGACCCAACACACTACACAGCTAATTCCTCTAAATATCATTACGTTTGCGCGGTCACTGGAGATATCATAAGCAATAGCATTCCTTGTGCTGTATTAAGACCTTCCGGTTGTGTCGTAACGCTTCAATGCGTGGAAAAAATCATCAAAAACGATATGATAGATCCTATTAACGGCATAAAGCTAAGGAAATACGACCTCGACTTTCCTGAAATTGATAAAAATGATAGTGATAAGGATGGGAATTTCGGAAATTTTGAATATTTAAAACATCTTTCTCCAGATATAATATTCTTAGAAAGGGGTGGAACAGGCTTTTCCCAAGCGTGCCAAGATACGGAGCTTTTAAAATCGCGTGTTAAAAGGCCCGTTCTACATATGTAAAATTGTTGTCTAATAAAATAGTTATAATTATATTTTCTATTATTCGTTGAATATATTTAAAGTTTTATAAGTGATAATATATATTATGCCTTTCAATGAATGGATTGTAATACAGTAAAAAATATAATAGAAGAACTAGTGCTTTTAGGGAAAAATATTAAATAATTGTTTCTATTAGAAAGTAACAACAATCGATTTTTTGATAAAATATAGAAAAACTTAAATCTAAGATAAAAATGATGATATTAGTGCAACTTATGGAAATTGCTGTTACCACAGCTTATTTATTATTTCTATTGGTCTGTTTACATTCACACGACCTCTTAGATTTGACAGTTACTCATAAAAGCTAAATTTTATTAAAAACCATTCTTGAGTTGAGCTTTCCACAATTTATTTATAAGTTATTTTTGTAGGTTACGCATAAATTTTAGCGCGAAATGTATTATCGCGAATGCATTACTGCGAATGTCGATTACCGCGAAATAATATTATATAACGAATGTATTACCGCGAATGCATTATCGCGAATGCATTATAGCGAATATAATACAACTAAATATTATAGCGAATGCATTAGCGCGAATGTATTACCGCGAATACATTGCAGCAAAAGCTTTACCGCGAATGCATTATAGCAAATGAATTATCACGAATGCATTTAAATGAATTACATCAGTTGCAATATCGGGAATGTATTAGCGCGAATGTATTATATTAAATGATTTACATCAGTTGTAATATTGGGAATGGAGTATTTTATATTTATCGGCATTTAGACAGGCTTAATTGTGGAAATTAAATTAAAGTTGGGCTTGGGTCTGAAAACATTTTTTTTTGAAAATAGGGGGCTTTTGATTTTTTTGACTCAAAATATATAAAAAAGATTTTAAGCAATAAAATAGATTCTCTAGGATTAGAAGGAATTAATTTTTTATATTATTTGATTGTTTATATGCGTTTAGTTATATTTTTCATTTAAATTTGGGACAGGACAGGTTCAGGCCTAAAATTTAAAATAATGGCTAGGCTAAAATAAATAAAGATTTTAGATGGAGCTTTGGCTGAAATAAATTAAATTTGCGTGGCGTAAGAAAAATCTTATTTAAAACATTGAGCCAAACAAATAATTAATACTCGAAAATAATTTTTATTCTTTGACAAAACATGCTTTAATTAGTGAGGGATTTACTATTGACTTGATAATATTTTGATATAAATTTGTATAAAGTTCTCTTATTGCTTAATCAAAAAGACCTTATCACAATACGACATGAATCAATATTCAGTATCATAGGCAAATTGTCGAATTGAATGGCTACACATCACTTAATTCATGTAATCTCTTATGATGAAATAGCGACTATTGTGACTCAGGAATTGGAAAAACAATAGAATAATGATTTCCTTAATTGATTCTTGTTAGGTTCTTCTTCCTGATGAGTATTTTTTCTAGTTATGTGATTAAAGACAATAAAATTATGCCATGAGAAGAAAAATTGGAATGAAGTTTAATTCCTGAATTCTGTAGGAAAAAGTGGAATATTCGTCCAGTTCAACAAGCTTTAATGAGAACTTAAAATTTGGGTTCCATATACCGAGAAATTATCAATAGGCTACAACCTTTTGAATCTTACAAACTGAAAGAAAAATTTAAAATGTGGCCCTTAATTTCACAAGAGGAATTGGGAAAAACAATAGAATAATGATTTCCAATTGATTCTTGTTAGGTTCTTGCTTCCTGACGAGTATTTTTTCTAGTTATGTGATTAAAGACAATAAATTTATGCCATGAGTAGAAAAATTGGATTGAAGTTTAATTCCTGAATTCTATAAGAAAAAGTGGAATATTTGTCCAGTATAACAAGCTTAATGAGAACTCAAAATACGGGTTCCATATACCGAAAAATTATCAATAAATTACAACCTTTTGAATCTTATATTGAAAGAAAAATTGGTAAAATGTGACCCTTAATTTCGCAAGAAATAATCAAATTGGCGGTTATTGTTAGGTGTTATCCAAGAAAAATAAGATATAGATTAATTATATTTATTATTTTAATAATTATATGGATCTCAAAGTATGCTTTGTGTTAGGGATGTACCGATATTTTATATCGGATCGGGCCGATATTTCACCCATTTTAAAATATCGGTTATCGGCAAATATAAAATTTTCCGATCCAATCAATGGCGTTTTAAACAAAAATAAAATATTATAAAATTTTTTATATCTAAAAAACCATTTATTTTTATAAATAAATTTAAAATCCATTTTTATGTTTAATTTTTTTAATAGTAATAATTAGTTAATAAACTTTCTGTCATATTGTTATTTTTTTCGCATTCTGTTTATAAAAGCATGCAATAATCTTTTCAGAATCTGTTTTTAGTGAAGCTAGTGATATTGACAGTCCCCATCACCGCAGACTGACCTCTGATAAATTGGAAATTTATGTATTTCTAAAGAGATATCTTCGATATATTAATTTTAAATATTTATTTCAAATTTCATAATATATTTGTTTATTACATATTATGTAAATAGATTAATGTTATTACTTATTATATAAATAAGTGATTTATCAATAAAAATATTTTATATACTTTTAGAATTGCAATTGAATTGAATATAAACTATAACTGATGATTAGAATATATTTAAATGACATATGTTATAGTATAGTAAAATTATAGATGTTATACTAATAAAAAGTATAGTAAAAATTAAAACTATTGGTATCTTTACAGAATACAAAATTAGATATGGTATCGGATCGGTAATCGGCCTATATCAATTTAATATCGGATCGGGACGGACTCCAAAAAGTGGTATCGGTACACCCCTACTTTTTGTTTTGCATTATAATTTATAATTACGAAAAAAATTTTAAAAAAAAGCGAGCGTCCGGCAGTAGATCAACATAAGGGGAACACGTCTAGCCCATTTTTACATATATATAATAAATGAGGGTCTTAAGTTATTTTTTGTTAAATATTACTATTTCAAATTTTATAAAAAAATTATCTAAGGCCGTCTAAAATGTTTTTAAAAAATCGTTAAAATTTTAAAATTTTCGCAAATTAATAACAAAACACTTTGAACACATTTAAGTTTAAAAAAATTAAAATATTTAGAATGCTTGATATGATTAAAATATTTAAAATGCTTGATATGATTCAATTATTAGTTATTTATTATATAATATATGAAGATACGACTGATTGAAATAAGCATAGATATTTGAAATTCAGGTGTATATTACAATTAGAATATTAATAAATATTATTCATTATAGAGATCAAGGACCTTTTAAAATATTTGATATTATTTAATATCCTGAAAAATTCCGTGAGACATTTCATATGCATGTGGAAACTTTTAATTATATTCTAACATATTTGAATGAAATAAAGACCGCTAAAGTCATACATAAAAACAATATTAATATGAAGAATAGGCTTTATGTACGATTTTTATTTTTTAATAAATTAGCTTAATATTTTTAGATATTTGACAACAGGAATGAGTTATAGAAAAATAGCCTTATTTGCAAAAATTAGCAAATCATCAGTAGCTACTATTGTTACATCTATATGTAGATTATTATATTATTGATAATGGTGATAATTAAATATTATTTGTATACTTAATAAATATATATGTTGTAAATAATTGTATCAATATTTAATAAGCAGTTGGAAAACCTGAAGTAATAATTGTTTTAATTTTTCCAAATTATATATAAATTATTATATAAGAGTTAATAATATACAAAATTTAAATATTTTACATAAATAATTTTTTAAATTTAAATATATCTTCTATTGACATTGCATTTATTTGATTTAAATAAGATTGATAAAACCCCATCATATAGTGTTTATCATTGATCTTCTCCAGTTTGTTAGAATCGAAAATATCTACCTTTTAATATTTCTGTTCTTTCAGATTTTTTAATTTTTTTCTTTTAATAGATGGAATTATTAATATTTATGGGGTTTTCATTTTCTTTATTAGCAATATCTTGATCTAGCTATTATTCAATAATAAATATCAAACAATAGAATATAAAATACAAAAATTATAGTATCCTCAAATGAAGCAATTTCAATATTTTGATCAAGTGGATTTTCAACTTCATTAAGGTATTGTGCAGCATATTAAAATATATAATTTTATAAATAAAAAAATATTTTATATTTATGTCTTTAAATATTTTACATTTGTCTGTGTCAATTTAAAACTTGACTCAGATTATTTGGTAATATTTTCACATTCTCTTTTAGCCAAATATTCTCCAACATATATTAAATCTTCGAAACTCTGAATTTTAGATCATTTTTGTACCAGAGGTTCTTATACACTCTTATGCTTTCCATAAAATTATATTCTGGCACTAAAAAATATACTACTATAAAAGGCTATAATCGTTTGGGTTAGTAAATTTATAAAAATTAACAGCATTTTTTTAGAAAAATAAATTTTTATAAATACCGAAAAATGAAATTGGACACCATTTTATTTTTACATTAAAAATAGCTTATGTTATTTTTTTCTTCAAAATTTATTTATTTATATTTTTATGATTTGGACGCAGCCTAATCTAATTATTAAAAAAAATGAGAATACTAAATTCCTTATATTTTTTAACAAAATATGTAATTTCATAAATAGCAAGTGACGTGTTTTATAGTTATAAAAATTTAAAAACGCTACCTTTAATAAATAGAGAAACGTCAATTAGGCTGGGTTTTTGAAAAAGGTCTGAACTTGCTAAATGAGTTACAATATAATTAGAGAGTCTAAAGTATTTCCTTAGAGAAATAGAGATCTGATGGAAAAATATTATCGGCAAGGAACTTTCAAAAGGTAACAAATTTATGGTTTCCGATTTTAAAAAATAAAAAATATTAATGATGAAATCCTTATTAGAGAATAAGTGGATAAGTAGTAAAGAATTTTAATACTTCTATTAATTATATCAACCATTTGTATAATATAAATCTATTGCATACGTGATAATGGATT